TATATACATATATATAAAATAGTGAAATCTATAGTATAGTGAATATATATAAAAATATTAAAATATGTGTGTATAGTGTGTGTGTGTGTATGTGTGCCCCCTGGTTATAGCTCATTTAAATAAAAGGGCTAGGGCAGGGGAGAGGCCTTAATTGGTCTAAATCATGCAACAATATGGCAAAGCCTTGGACCTTCTTATCTTCTCTAAACCTGGAGAAAACTCCCTTATCTCTCTACTTCCACACTCTTGCCTTAAAGATACTAGTCTATATTCCTACCCCTGCCAGTACCTAAAATAATCTTTTTAATGAGTTGAGACTTTTCATAGAAAATAAAATGAAATTTAAGATAAAGATAAAGGGCTACTTCCAAGCATGCTCTGTCCAGTAAACAAAACTTCCCAGGACAGGTTAGCTAGGTAGGCTTAAAGGTCTCTATAATTGAAGAAAAAATGTGCACAAGTTATTTTCCACAGTGAACATACCTATATCTTTATGTATTTATGTAGATACTCCTAAAAATAAGTTCTTAGGAAGGGAATTGTTAGAACAGAAAGCATACATCTCGAAAATGTGGATATATGTTGCCTAATGTTTTTCCAAAATTTTCTGTCAATATTCATTTCCTCCAGTGTATGGATAGATCCATAATGAGGAACTTTAAAATGATCCAACAGAATATTTTTCTAAAATGGAGAAAAGATTAGAAAACATTTCCCTCAGTCTTCATCTGGTGGAATCTGACAAGCTTTCATGAGCTATGTGTCTGTTTTATTGAACTGTTCCAATTTAGCAGCCTGGCTGCTCTCTCTGTTGGTCATCATGGGTTAAAACACACATATACACTAAGAGACAGCATCCCTCTAGTTGTCTCCAGTTAGGCCAGTGACAATGTGAGAGGTTATCTTGTTGACCCTAGTCTTTCACTTCCTGAGTACTCAGTGAAGTTGGCAACACTAGAAGTGAACAGAGAAATCCACTTGATAGAGTGCCCTCAGGCAGTGGGGTACCTGTAACAGAAAGTGGCAGATACAGAAACAAAATACTAGTCTTCTCAATGCAAAACTCTGAGGAGAGAGAATTGATATGTCTTCCTACTATGATACCTTCACCAGCTCTGTATAGTTAATAAACAATTATTCTTTAGAATGACAACTCTCAGTTCTAGTGAAGTCCCAGTCAACAAGTCTAAGTATTTTGGGTGGAATTCTGTCCCAACCAAAAATGTATGTTGGAGTCCAGACCCCTAGTACCTCAGAATGTGATGTTATTTATAGATAGACAGGGTCTTCCCAGATGTAGTCAAGATAAAATGAGGTCATATGGGTAGGCCTTAATTCGAGATGACAGCTATCCTTATAAAAGTGGAAAATGTAGACACAGGGACATATTTACAGGGAGAACATGAAGGCAGCAATCAGGGTGATGCATCTACAAACCAAGGAACACCAAAGTTCTTTTTAGCAAAATCCCCCAAAGTGGGAAAGAGGCATAGACCAGACTGTCATGGCCTCAGAAGGAACCCGTCTGGCCAATACCTTCATTGTGGACTTCTTAGGCCTCCCGAAATATATGACAATAATTCCTGCTTAAGTTACCTGGTTTGTGGTACTTTGTTACAACAGCTGTAGCAAACTCATACGGTAGGATTTATTCTCATATATTTTCTATGATTAAAGCTGATTGGTCCTTTTTGAGGTCTTCTTTAGAATCTTTCTTCCCCATTCACAGCTGGGATTCCAGCTAGCAGTCAACCCAACTGCCCCCTAATAATTTTTTTTGACTTTGTTATAATTCATTTAGGACACCTAATAAATTCTTCAAACAGAATATATAATTTTTCTGCTAAGTGTAGTGACATACACTTGTAAACCCAGCAGCTCAAGAGGCTGAGGCAGGAGGATTGCAAGTTCAAAGCCAGCCTCAGCAACTTAGCAAGGCCTTAAACAACTTAGTAAGACCCACCTCAAAATGAAAAATTAAAAGGGCTGGGAGTGTTGTTCAGTGGTTAAGTACCCTTGGTAACAGAAACAAACAAATAAAAAGAATATAATCTTTCTTCATCCATTTTATCCAATTTCACTAAGCTGTAATATATTTTTGGTTAATCCAAGGTTAATGAACTGTAGACTGGACCAAATCCAGCCTACCACCTATTTTCATAAGAAAAGTTTTATTTTCATAAGAAAAGTTTTATTAGCACACAGCCACACACATTTGTGTATGTATTGTGTAAGGATGTAGCATGCTATAAGGTAGAGTTGAATAGTGACAGAAGCTGTATTGCTCACAAGCCTTAAATGTTTACTCTTTGGCTCTTTAAGAAAGTTTTCTAATTTCTTTCAGTAACTAAGTTTTCAATATGTGAGTCTGGCAGAATAAGTGAGATAAAATGAGATCATAGGCTTAAGAATGAAATATTAGGAATATAACTGATTGCATCTCAAAAAAAGAAAGTGTTTGGGGTTTATGGAAAGGTATTGTCAGAATCTGACTCCACAGAACTAGATTTAGGCAGACACTGGCTATTGTTTGCAGTGACCCCCTGCAAGGAGAATACTGGGCTTCTCCTAGTATCCAAGGCATGGTCATTGCTTTAGCACTTGTAACTCATTTAGTCAGTTCTATGCCCTAGCTCATGAGACCTGCTATCATCTTTTGTGCTAATTTTATTCATTTTCCATTGTTTATAACAAATTGTCACAAAATTAGTGGTTTAAAGTAGTACAGATTTAACACTTGGTAGGTCAGAGGCCAATAGGGTCTTGCCAGACTAAAATCAAGGTCTTGTGGCTGTGTTCCTTTCTAGAGGCTTTAGGATAAGTCCTGTCCTGCTTATCCAGGCCTTTGGTAGAACTGGTAAAACCTTCCTATTTGAACATCAGCTGATAACACAACTTATTTCCCTTTGTCACATAAGGTGACTCAGTCACACCTTCTGGGGATTAGGACATGGGTGGACATCTTTGGGGGTACCACTCTAGTACTACAGGGCTCTGTAAACACTGCTTATCTCTATAAAGCAAGACCCAGTTGATTTATTTGTTTCAACTTCTGTAATAACTTGTGTTTAATAAGTGAATTTTATACCCTGTATCCTGCATCTAATAAATATATATATTAGACAAATCTTCTGAATGCTCTTACATAGTCAAATATGTTATCATTTTAATAGCTGACATTATTAGGAGTAATTTTAATTGATTTTCTTAGTCTTATAGATGAGCATTTAGGCTACAGTTTTTTCACTAACGTGCATAATAAGCATCCTTTTCTTAGGAAAATTTCTAAACTCTGAGGATAAAGATTATGTACTTTTTAAAGGCTTTTTAATTTAGTGTAACTTATTTCAAATCACTGAAAAATCTTATGCATCCTAGTTTACAGCAGGAGCCATGTTTTGTTTGTCTTCTGCAGACAGACAATGGAGCGTGTCACACTGCAGAACCAACTCCAGCAACTTCTAGAAGCCCAGAAATCAGAGGGCAAGTCTCTCCCTTCCTCACCCAGGTAAGACCAGGCACACTGGTATAAGGAGTTCTTAAATATCTGAAATGCCTGAACCTTCTTCTAGATTTCCTTTTAAAGTCTTTTAAGAAAATGACAACAGAAAACATTTTATTCTTATAAACAGGAACAAAAAAATAAGATGTCACAGTGAAATAGTCAATGAACCTAGGGTCCAAAGGCCTGAACTCAGATCCTGCTCTGTGTTTTGTTCTACAACTATAAGCAAATTCATCTACTCTGTCTCTTTCATTTCTTGACCTATGAAACCAGGAATAAGGATATTTAGGTTAGTAAGGTTGTGGGAAATTGAATTAATTTGGAAAAATGTGCAAAATTATGTGTAAACAGTAAAACAGGCAAATTTGGTAGCCTTAAGGTAAAAGGCACGCTGTACTTTTTTTTTTTTAAAGAGAGAGAGAGAGAGAATTCTTGCAACTATGGAGCATTTGCATATTGCTTTGAGAAGTCATTAAGTGATCATTCTTTAACTGCTTTCTCATTTATGTGTAAATTCAAAATTAAACATATCAAAATTTAAATTGCTGAGGTCACTTTACTTAGCCCAGTAAGAAGTCATGTCGTATGTCCTACATTCACTTTTCAGCTCACCCTCCTCACCAGCTTCCAGAAAGTCCCAGTGGAAATCTTCCGACGCTGAAGATGAGTCTACAGCCAAAAGCAAACCAGGAGTCCAAGAAGGGATTCAGGTCCTTGGAAACCTGTCAGCATCCAGCCGAGCTAGGGCCAAAGCAAAAGACGAAGATTCTGATAAAATCCTGCGCCAGTTATTGGGAAAAGAAATCTCAGAGAACGTTTGTACCCAAGAGAAGCTGTCTTTGGAATTCCAGGATGCTCAGACAACCTCTAGAAACTTGAAAAAGATTCCTCTAGAGAAGAGGGAACTCAAGTTAGCCAGGCTGAGGCAGCTGATGCAGAGGTCACTGAGTGAGTCTGACACAGACTCCAACAACTCTGAGGACCCCAAAAACACCCCTGTGCGAAAGGCTGACAGGCCCCGGCCACAGCCCATTGTGGAGAGCGTGGAGAGTATAGACAGCACAGAAAGCTTACACCTGATGATAAAGAAGCACTCCTTGGCATCAGGACGCAGGTTTCCTTTTAGTACCAAGGCCTCTAAATCCCTAGAGGGCCATAGCCCATCTCCCACCTCAGAGAGCAGCGAACCAGACTTGGAACCCCAGTGTCCAGTCTCGGGGAACACTCCTCCAAGCCAGCCCTCTGGAGAGCCCACTCAGTGCAGCCCTGACAGCACTGCGGCCCAGAAGGTCGCCATGAGTCCCAAGAGCGCCCTCAAGTCTCCCTCTTCCAAACGCCGGACATCTCAGAACTTGAAACTCAGAGTTACCTTTGAGGAGCCTGTGGTGCAGATGGAGCAAACTAACCTTGAACTGAATGGAGAAAAAGACAAAGATAAGGGCAGGACCCTCCAGCGGACCCCCACAAGTAGTGAATCAGGGGAACAACTGAAAAGGCCTTTTGGAACCTTTCGGTCCATCATGGAGACGCTGAGTGGCAACCAGAACAATAACAACAACTATCAGGCAGCCACCCAGCTGAAGACCTCTACGTTGCCCTTAACCTCACTTGGAAGGAAGATGACAGACGCCAAGGGAAACCCTGCGAGTTCTGCTAGCAAAGGAAAGAATAAGGCAGTGAGTGCTCTTTGGAGAATATAATTTTTCTTTTTTGCCCTAAAATTGGTTCAGTTGTTCCTGGCCGTACAGTTTGCTGACCTATACCACTCTGAGGGAATCCCCAGAAAAACTCCTAAAGCCAAACTCATGTTTCTAATGAAACATATCATGTGAGAGTACATATACCCCCTTGCTCTGCCTTTGAAAGAGAAAGAGAGTAGGGGAGGGAGGGAGAGACAGCCAGACAGCTAGGTAAATAAATCTCAAGAGATTATATTCTGGTCTCTTGATTTTCCTCAATGGCTTGACCTTTGGATGGTAGGGGTCCTAGTCTTGGAGGCATTTCTATAAGATGAAACCTCCAGTTGATGTAAAACCAGGTCCTTTGTTGGCACTGATTCTGCCTCAGGAAGAGCTTGTTCTTTCCCTGTGACTGGATAGTTTATTCTCAAGCCCAATTAAAAGGCACATAAATAGAAACTCTATTTATAAGACTTTCAACTGCTCAACTTTGGAATGACCTTTGAAATGAATACACCATGGGGGCCTCCACACTGGCATTTTTAAAACACAGACCCCTAAGTGTTGATTGGAGGCTGCAGGAGTCTGAAGTGCTTGCCAGTACACAGGGGATGGCAGAGTGTGCCATAAACTACATCTGATAATTGCTTTTATTGGAAACCCATGCATGATAATTTGTGATTTGCATCCAGTGAATCGGAGATTTCAACGTCTTTTTAGGCAATGTTTTCTACATGCTCTGTGTTTGCCACACCATCAAAATACAGCAGAGCAACCAAAACGCACAACTCTAGGTGGAAAAGAATGACCCAGATCATCCACATTCTATCTAGATAAACCACCCAGCGGAGTGTCAGATCTTCATAACATATTTTTGGCAATAATGGTAAAATCCTAATCACACCAAAGTCTTAAGAACTGCCCCCATTCTTTCTGTGCTACCAAATCAATCAATGGATTGAGCCAATCCATTGATTGAATAACAATTTTCATATTATATACCAATTTCTTTTTGTAAATTGCCCTTGTTATGCTGGATTTTAGCATGTGATTGTTCCATCTAGGAAAGGCACACTCATGGCCCAGACACCAGATCTCTTGGGTTTTAAATATGTCAAAATTTAAATTGTTCAAATAAAACTTTTCCAAATAACTTAATAGATTCTCTTAATCAGTAGAAAATGGAGAATCCTAGTGTCCTTACTCTCTAAAGTGTTTCCCCAGCTATTGTCCTCTGTCCTGTCTCCAGCATGCTTCGTGTTACTGGGGCTGTGCATGTGCTAAGCTTTTTGCATGTTTTCAGATGATTTTAATTGCACCTCTCTAGGAGATGTACAGCAGCTGCATCCATCTTTCCTCTAACAGGCTGATTGAAGAGCATCTGCGTAACTATGCACGGTACGTGGTGCCTGGAGATGCATTGTGTGCAGCATTGCCATGGCTTTGCTTTGAAGTGCATGAGCTTTGAAATTATGGACCTGTAGAACCTTTCAGCAGGGGATGATACCAAGGAAGAAGAAAGTTGCAACTCTGTCCCCAAAATAGAAGCAGGTGCAGAGGGTAACTAGGACTTAGGTAGCTAGTATCTGTTAGAAGGGCTGTGTTCCAGCATCAATCAGAAAATCTACTCATTTCACAAACTTGCTGTGTTTCTTAGTTGACTTTGGCTTCTAGTCTTTGTTTTAATGGAATCAAGTACCAAGTAAGTATTGAAATTAAATTTCCTGTCGTGGGTAGAAGGAGTCAGTCTCCAATCAGAATCAGAACTTTGAAACAGAACTGGAGTTTTATTTCAGGGCTGACGATAGATGGAAAGCTCCTTTCATCACCATCCTGCTAATCTTGGGAGAAGCAAGCCTTGCCAGGCTGAAACTTCTCTAGCTTAGCATTTTGAACCACAATCTCTATCCAGAAGCCCACCAATAAAACAATTTCCCAGAATTAGTAACCAATACAAAATGCATGGGCTCTGTACATGAAAGAGAGATCGGGTCCCCAGTGACTGGGGTACCTCCTTGGGCAGAGTCCTTCTGCAGCATGATGTTCATCCCCGTGCTGGGAGTATGCACAATTTCCTAACCAGGAGAGTGGAGGAGCAAAAAGTGAGCAGCCCAAGGGGAGCTAATGAGCTCAGTGTCTTTTGACTGGTTTATTTGAATAAAGTTAATTCCCCAAACCCATTTTAAAAGGAGTCTGTTGCTTTTAAATCATGTAAATAATTAAACCATGACATGCCATTCAGCACTCTTCCAAAATTCTCCAAAGAATGTATGTGGTGTGTGTGTGTGTGTGAGAGAGAGAGAGAGAGAGACAGAGACAGAGACAGAGAGAGAAAAGAAGAAGGAGGAGGAGGAGGAGAGAGGGAGATAGGAGAGAGAATTTATTATTCATGTGGATTTTAGTTCAGTATACAAAAGTGCAAGAAAGTAACTCTCTTTTTTTCCCATCTCTAAATCAGCTTTCATCTGCTCTAAGTCTGTACTCAAGCTAGAGGGAGATTAAATCTCAGTCGTGCGAGGGGGTGCCCTAAAGGTCTTATGAATTAGTAAACTGAAGTAAGAGCCTTGGAGGTTCAGTGTTTGCTGGTCACCCGTGGTCTGCTTGGGTACCACTCACATGTGGCCTGAAGGCAGGTACCTGGACTGCTTCCAGCCATCCTAGGGCAGAGAATCTTGGCCAGGGCTGAGAGTCAAAGGCCTGCGGTAGAAAGGGAAGAGGAAGAAATACTCCCCTCCCAGACACAGGGAGTAACCCACTTATATTTCTTTCAATATAGTTTCCCCACACTTATATCCTTCTCTGTCCCCATGTTGGGTTGAATGTGTCTTCTGCTGCCTGGGAAATTCTCTTTTGTGCTTAATCAGAAGTCACTGGCAACACCCCCAGGAAAGGAAGCACACTTGGCAAATTCCCTGGGAGCAGGAAGGAAAATGAATACCTCTCATTTCTTCCAGGCTTCTACAGCACTGGGAACAAGACAATTAGTATCACAATAGATTCTTCTGCCAGAAATATTTCATCCTGTCTTTTTACAAGCAAAGGAACAAAGCTGAGAAACTTGCTATAATAGGATTACAAAATCAGAGCACAAAATGAGGTTATGGGGCTACTCGGATATCTGACACTAGGTTAGCACTTTCCCACTCAGCTTAAGGAACCATCCCTCCAATGTCTCAGTTCTGAACACTCCAGATTCTCTGGCTTTATGTATTAGCAAAGTCTGATTTCAGCACTAACCACTTAGAAACCCAGAAGTAAAAATAATGTATTAAATAAGTATCCTGACCCCCTTCTTCTCCCTAACCTATAAATTAACCTACAATTTATCATAGTTTTAATTTGTCATGTGTTTCCATAAAAAGGAGACACTAGTGGTTTTCATATTGCAGAGAAAATGTTTCACTGATTCACTTATAATCACACACAGGTGGAGAGAACTGGCCGGATTCATTCCTTAGATAAATCAAGGACAGGTCTCTCTATTTCAAATAGAGAGTCCTTGGAGAAATTAAGATTAGAGTAAAATGCTGGCGTGAAAAAATACCTAATTGACTCTAGTGCCTGCCTTGTTTCACCAGTGGGACCCAACAGCAAGAAGAAAGGAGCCCCATGTATTTATCAACAGCCTCAATTCTTGGCTTCAGAATTACTTGAAGACCAGATGGTTCCTCTCAGGTCACAGGAATTACCTAAAAGTCACTGTCCTGTCAGCAGAGGCCTGGGGAAGAGTGGGCCAATGGATCTCAATTCCAGAGATATATGAAATCTCATTTCAGTTCCTAAGAAATTTTTATTTTTCCTAGTAAAGGAAAAATAAGAGCAATAAATAGAACATTTTTAAAGAATGTCATCTCTGTAAGGGAGTTCGGTTTGCTATTTGTTTTTCTAAATTGGTCACAGTTTGATAGCAAAGAATCTAAATTTCTTTTCAATGCCCTTTAAAATTAGATTCAACCTTATTGCTTTCAATAGCTTTCCTAGTGTGTTTCAACTGCAGAGGATGAGTTGGTTTATAACAAGCAGATTTATCTTTACATTTTCTTATGAAAGATAAGTTTGTTTTGCGTTATTACAACTCAAAAGGAATTTTTGCAATTACTGGTCTTAAAATGCCAATGAAACATTTTTTTTTCCCAGAGTTTAAGTCTGTCTGAGATCCCTAACACTGAAGTGCATGTTGATTCCAGTTACCAATAGGCAGAAGGTGGTATTCTCTGGCCACAGCCAGTGACACCTTCTCTGACCATGGTGGCTCAGCCTCCTGAGGAAACCCTGATCCTAGCTCCAGCATGAGGGGAGACTCCTTAAAAAGACATTTAAGCAATAAACGCCATTAGTGTGGATTGTACTGCCAAGGAATTAGTCACACTGGGAATTATATAGGCAGAGCCAAGAGCTAACATCAAATATTTTGCACAGATTAAAAGGTTATTCAAAAGCCACTTCACTGTTAAGCCCATGATGATGTGACATCTGCTATGACAGTGGTCATCTGCTGTGCCCCATAGAGGGTGCAGAGGGGGAACCTGTCTTGGAAATCAAACTCATCCCACCAGGACATTCTTTCATCATGCTAGTTCTGATTTAATGACAATCAGAAAACCTAAGAAGAAACAACTCTTTTCTTCATTTCCACCCTCCTTTCTCACTCCCCAAAGGTCCAGTTGTGAATTACATCATACCAAAGGGGAGAGATATTCCATTCATGTTATATTCACACTACATGTCTGCCACCATTAGGGGCATCTTTGTACATTAAAAGAGCAGAGTCTGTCTAAAACTCTTTTAAGTCAAAGAAGTGGTTGGTTGGTAGAGATTTAAGAAAACCAAATAGAGACTCTAGCTGGACACCTCCTAGTGCCTTTGCCAAGCATCACTGCCCCAGCCAGTCATTGGGCTTTTCCTTGCTACACTGAGATCAGAGCATAGAGGTAGAAACTTTCCTGGATGCCACATCTCTGGTTTGCCTGACCATTCATTTCAACAGCATCTTTAGCACCGAGCCACACATTTTGCGATACTAGAATGAGGCACGATTTCTGAACTCTCAAGAGAGAATTAAAGTAGGATACAATTAAAGCATGGTAAGCTGTGTTAAAGGGAGAAGAGCAGTAAGAATACTACTGAAAGCAGTGCTCCTTGTTGGCTTCATTGTACCTCCCTGGCTTCTCCCAGTGTCTAGCTTGGTGCCTGGCACATGGGAGGGACTTCATAAATATTTGTAGAGAAGCAGAGGTAGGGAAAGAAAAAGGAGGCAGGGAAAGGAAAAGAGAAATGAGAGGAAAAATACCGAAGTCTATCTCATAGAAGAAAGCATTGTCTGTATTAACCCTTTGGGGTCACAAGTTGTTCTTCCCAAAGTGAGTTTTAGTTTGAGCATTTCAAGTGCAAGTTTTCAAACTTTAAACCAGAACCCCAGTTTTTTAGTAGGTGGAATGGAATGTACAGTTGTGCTCTCAGTAAAGCTTTAAGGAAGATAGCAAAAATCCCATTCTCTGTTATCAGTGGAGATGTGTTGCATGCTGTGGACCATTTCACACTGATCCTGTCGGCTTGTGTCTGGTCTCCATGAGCTGTGGAAATATGGAATCTGTGCCTGTGCCTAGATGAGTCAGCATACTCGATTACTTGCAAAACTGATATTTAAATGTAAGCTTTTTCTCCTTTCCAATTTTGGTCACTCAGTATGTGATTTCATATCCAAAAATGAAATCAAGGAGCAGCAAATTATCTGAGTGATTTGTGCCAGAATTACCCAAATACTTTTTGTTCCTTTGAATACTGGTGATTCAGGACTACATAATTGAAGGGTTTGGGGAGAACTGAATTATTATTGTATTATTCATATAAATGTCTCAGGATAGCATTTTACTTGGTCTAGATTCAACTCTAATCATGCTGGGTTTTGTTCTGCAAAAAGAGTATTCTTTGGGGGGTTTTGAATACAGCACCCCATTTTAAAGCAGAAGTTTTCCATCAAAGTCTAAATAAACTTTATTATCTTTAGACTACAACCTAAGCCTTCTTTTAAAAACCTTTTAATTTTATTTTTTGTCATGATGATGTAGATATAATAATACATATAATAATAATAGTAGCATTATAACAAAAATTTACTGTTCCTTGTGCTCAACTCACCCCATTCTCTATTTCTACTCCTCTGAATCAACCACTTTCCCTTCAGATATTTTCTCTAGTATTATTTTCTAAAACATCCTTATGAATTTTTAATTTCAGATGTTATCCCTATTATAAACTGGCATCCTACCATAGAAAGTAAAAATAATGACAGCACTTAAAATATACTAGAGAAGAGCTGGGAATATATCTCAATGGCAGAGTGCTTGCTTAGGTAGCGTGAGGCCATGGGTTCAATCCCTAGCACTGCAAAAATAAGACAAAAGTAAAATATCCTAGAGAATATTCCAGATGCTTTACATACATATACTGATTTAATCTTCACAGTGACCCTATGTGGCCGATAATATTATTATCCAAATTTTACATATTAGAAACAGGCACAGATGATTACGTATCTTGCCCGAGATTCCACAGTAACAATGATTATAAATCGTGGAACTGG